GCTCACTTGGGGAGTGAATCATCGGAGGGAAGATCTTTCTCTGTCTCTCCTCCTCTCTGTATATATGCTTTTGTAATTAAAAAAAAAAAGATTTATTTTTATTGGAAAGGTAGCTTTTGCAGAGAGAAGGAGAGACAGAGAGAAAGGATCTTCCATTACCGGTTCACTCTGCAAGTGGCCATAATGGCTGGAGCTGAGCCAATCTGAAGCCACGAGCCTCCTCTGGGTCTCTCAGATGAGCAGGGTCCCAAGGCTTTGGGCCATCCTCAACTGCTTTTCCAGGCCACAAGCAGGAAGCTGCAACAGGAGTGGAACAGCTGGGACATGAACTGGTGCCCATATGGGATCCCAGGGCATGGAGGTGGAAGATTAGCAAGTTGAACACCAGACCTGGTCAATACAAATTTAGAAGTGTAATATCTTCTTACAGGGTTAAAACTTTGCATCATTTATGTAGTTCTCCACCTAAAGAATCTTTGCTTGCATTTATCTTGAAAGTCCTTTTTGTTCTTTATTCACTCACTCAGCTTTTTGTTATTGTGTCTGTTATCAGTCTCTGGATCAAAGTAAAGTATTAGAAAGCAAAACCTTTATGAGTCATACAATCTAAGACACTCATTTTAGGGGTTAGACTTTATATCATTGCAGGAACCAGTTAGTATTTCTGCATGCCTCTTGGGAAAGAGCAAGGACAAGCTGGAACCTGCATCTGTCTCATTGCCTCCAGTTCTCACAATGTGCTTTCCTTGGGAGAAGCTGGTGCCCTTTGCCATGGGATGCACACATATCTAGCCCAGGCCCCAGAGGAGCGGAAGGAGGAAGCCCAGCTGGGACTGAAGGAGCTGTAGTTGGATGCTGCCCTATGTCAATAAGGGAAACTGCAGAATCAACAAGGCTACACATAAGCTCCCCTGTGCCTAGTACCCTGTGCCAACCTTTATAGCAGGTAACAATGTATGTTTGTTCATTCATGTTCCAAATCTGTTAGAACTTTTGCTGTCAATTGGGAGCCACAGAGGGAAGGGAATTCCGGAGGAGAAATCTAGTTTTTAGCTAGTTGAAATTACAATCTATATTATCTGATACCCTTTTTAGAACAATGGAAGGATCTTGGGACATGTTAACTGTTTCCTCTTTCAACCATATTGTTTTCTATCATTTTAGTTCTTTCCTTTAAAATTAAAACAGATTTTTAATAAGATTTTCTGAAATTTACCTGAGTCTGTCGTTAGTTTCTCCCCATTCCTTCTTGCAGCCCAGGCCTTCCTTACATGGCTATTTTTCTTCTCCCTTAAGTATATCCTTCAAAGTCCCTTTAGAGCTAATGGCGTCAACATTTCAGTTTTTGTTTGCCTGAAAATGTGTTTGCATTTTTTTCTTTTTCTTGAAAGGATGACACCTTGAAAATATTTTCTCTTTTTCTGCTTTCAAGGTAATTTCTTAATGAGTGTTCTGCAGTTTCACTGTGAGATACTTAACGGGGAATTTCTTTTCTTTTTTCCGTATCCGTGGATTCATGTATTTCATTGGTTCTGGAAAGTTTTGAGCCCTTTTATCCTTAGAGAATGCCTTTCTCTAACTTTTTTCCTTCCAGGACTCCAATTACATATGTGGAGAACCTTTCATTCTTTCATAGTGGTTTCTTAAAATATATATTTTCCAGTTTGTCTCTGCTGCATCTGAGGAAGTTATCTCAATCTATGTTTCATTTCATTAATATTTTCCAGCCATGTTTGAACTGCTTTTTAACTCATTTATTGAAGTTTTGGTTTTAACAGACATATTTTTCATTTCAAAATTTTGTTCTTTTAAAAAATTTGCTCATTTAAAATTTATTTTTTGCTTAAAATCAATTTCACATTTTTTTTAAAAAAATCATATTTTCTGTTAACTGATACTATTGATGTCTGAAGTCCTTGGGTTTTTTAAGTTTGTTGGTTCCATTAATTCCCTAATATGGTGTTTTGTTTTCTTCAATTTATTTCTTCAATTTATTTCAAGCTCACGTTTGCTTGATCTTACTCTGAAGGTTGCCTTGGAACCTTCACCGAGGCAATCTGCCATCACCACATTTAATCTGTGTGTGTGAAAGAGAAACAGCCAGAGATATTGAACTTTCTGAATCAGTTTAGAATTTCCAGATTTAGTTCCTCCACACTTCAGCCAGTTGAAGACAACCACTTCTGCTTGTAGTGCTGATTTGGGCACTGACCTTGAAGCAAACTGGTCTTGTAATTATACTTACCACTCACCACCATGAAAGTCCAAAACAAAATACAATTTAATTTTTATGTAGTATTTAGTTGTTTTGGAGTAGAAGTGCCCTGCAGCATTTCTCAACCTGAGCAGAAATCTTTCCTTCATTCGTAATCTCTCTGCTACCTACCTTTCACTGCTCTCCAGGCATTGAAGTTGTCTGGTCAGGTTACCAAGAGTTACACCATCCAAGAAGTCCCTTTTTGTGTCGGCAACACTTGACACCAACCTCCATCTATCGATGCTTAGGACTGGTGCTGTGGTGCATAGGCTTAAGCTACTGTGTGTTATACTGGTATCCCATAGCTGAGCCAGTTTAAGTCCTGGTTGCTCCGTTTCTGATGCAGCTCCTTGCTAATGTGCCTGGGAAAGCAGAGATGCTTCAAGCACTTGGGCTGCTGCTGCTTGTGGGAGACCTGGACCAAGTTCTGGGATGCTGGCTTTGGCCTGGCCCAGCCCTGGTTGCTGCAGAAGTTAGCAGAGGTGAACTAGTGTACAAAATATTCTCTTCTTGCATTCTCCTCTACCCCAGCCCTTTCACCCCGCCTCTCAAAAAATAAATCTTTAAAAATAACAATGCTGGGCCTGGCATGATGGCCCTAGTGGCTAACTACCTGTCTTGCATGTGCTGGGATCCCTTGTTGGCATTGGTTCATGTCATGGCAGCTCCACTTCCCATCCAGCTTCCTGCTTGTGGCCTGGGAAAGCAGCATAGGATGGCCCAGAGCCTTGGGACCTGCACATGTGATGGAGAAGAAGCTCTTGGCTCCTGGTTTTGGATCAGCTCAGCTCTGGCCATGGTGGTCACTTGGGCAGTGAATCAGTGGAAGGATCTTTCTGTTTCTCCTCCGTAAATCTAATTTTCCAATAAAAATAAATAAATCTTCATAATAATAATGTCTTTACTAGCTGCTTCTTTTATTGTCTTTTTATATCTTTGAACATAATTCTCTGGTTCCTTTCATTAAAAGTGGCCTTTCTTAAAAATTATATTGTCCAAAGTTCTGTCTTTGGTCATTTTCTCATTCTTTTTTGACAATCTCAGTCAGTCCTAGTGCTTCAACAACCACTTCGTATCTGTAGTCCAGACTGCTTTCCTTTGCCTCAGGTAAGTGGACTTAACCACCCACGTATTTTCCTTAAGAGCCTCAAATGCTTTTCTCCTTAAATGAACCCCAAATTTCTAATCTTGTATGCCAAATCTCAGTAGGTATCAGTGTCATACCTCCAGTGGCCAGAACCCAGGAGTAATCCTTCCCTCTTCTTATCTCCAGTTGGAAAGCAAGATTTGTGATCTTTAATTCTTTCCTTTTATGGGGGGTCAGCACTGTGACTCTGCGCGCTAATCCTCTACCTACAAGTGCCAACATCCAATATGGGCGCTGGTTCATGTCCTGGTAGCTCTACCTCCCATCCAGCTCCTTGCTTGGGGTCTGAGAAGGCAGTGGAGGATGGCCCAAGTCCTTGGGACCTGCACCTGCATGGAGACTTGGAGGAGGCTCCTGGTACCTGGCTTTGGATTGGCTATTTAAAAAGTGAGCCAGCGGATGGAAGGTCTTTCTCTGTCTCTTTCTCTCTGTAAATCTGACTTTCCAAAGACCATTTTTATTGGAAAAGCAGATCTACAGAAAGACAGAGAAAAAAATTTCCATCTGCTGGTTCACTCTCCAAGTAGCCACAACAACTGGTGCTAAGCCAATGTGAAGCTGGGAGCCAGGAATTTCTTCCAGGTTTCCCATGTGGGAGCAGGGTCCCAAGACTTTGGACCACCCTCTGCTGCTTTCCCAGGCCACAAGCAGGGAGCTGGATGGGAAGTGGAACAGCTGAGACACAAGCCAGTGCCCATATGGGATCCTGGTGCTTGAATAAATAAATATTTAAAGAAAAAATTCTTTCCTGGGCCTGGAGCGATAGTTCTGTGGCTAAATCCTCACCTTGCCCTGCCCCCTCCTCCCTCCAGCCTGTCTTCTCTGCCAACTTGGTTTTGTGAGAAGCCTCCTCTGCTGGGTCACTCTGTAGGCCTGCATTTCAGCTCTGCAGAGCGCTCCCCCTTCTGGCTAGCCTCGTAGCACTTGCCACTGTTGGGGTCCGTTCCATACTGGGGGCCTTTCTTTGTTCACTTGTTCGCTGCATCCTCCATAGAAGCAGGCTGTGGTCCTTCCTTTTGGCATCCTTATGCAAGAAGATACTCAGCAGAGTGTTGTTACTGGTATACCCGGATGGACTTTCTTAGGCAGTCACAGGCATCCCAAATGTCCTCTTTTTGTGAAAGCTGCACAGACCCTCCTAGTCATCCATCTTCAGACACAGACACGCAGATCCCTAGATATTGTGATATGCATGCATAAAGGCATTCCTGTAGGATATTTTCTAGCCTTTCTAATCACCAGGGAACTTGCAGCTCTTCAAGTGATTAGTTCTCTCTCATCTTTCTAGCCGCAAGTCAATGTCATCTTGAGAAGAGGCCTTACATGGACTCTCAAAGTAGCTCTATTACTCTATTTTCTTTGTAGCATTTGATTAAAAAATTCATATTTCTTGTTTATCTCTCCCTCTTACCCTGATGTCATTCTATGAGGTCAAGATCTTGTATTATTTTATATATCATTGTGAAGTCCATGCCTAGGTGAATGAAGTAAAAACACAAAGCTACAAATATTAACATACAACAACCTCATATTGCTGGTCACGCAATTACAAGTGGCCATAGATTCTGGCCTGCCCCTCCCCAAATCTCCACTTACCCTGGTCACAAATTTGTTGGCCTCCCAGGCCCACAGAGGTGGGTCCTTATAGACCTCCTTGATGGATGTAGGGGCCCTGTAGGAGTCAGTGTAGGTGCTGATGGGGGTCTTGGTCTTCCGGGAGAAGAGGTACATGGTGGTGTCTTGGAGATTCTGTGGTGGGTTCTACCTACCAAGGGCCCTTGCTGGGCATCAGTGACCACCTCTTCCCCCACACCTCCAGCCTGGCAGGTCCTAGCTTCTGTGACCCCCTCCTGTGGAGGATTCTTCAGCTTTCCTCCCCCACAGCCTTCCTTCTCACACCCCGCCCTGCTTCCCTCTCCTAGCTGGGCACTGCCCATTATGATATCACCCGGCCTAGCTCCATCCCTGGGGAGGAGGTCCAATTTCCCCCCTCCTCCTGACCCCTTCTTGCCTCAAGTCTCTCAAAAGAGCTCAATTTCCAAGAGTCCAGCAGGCCTCTGGAAACCTTGTAGATTTCTCTAAAGAGGAGGAGGTTCTAAGAGGTTGTGACTTAACCTGAGTCACACAGGTTTAGTGGCACCTCTGGGAACCAGTGGGTTGGAGGTGATGTGATGTGTACATCCAGAGAATTGGTTTGCTCCCCTTCCCAGCTCCCCTGCCCTTTGCCCATACCCCAGGTAGGGAGCTGAGGCTAGCTTGTTTGATGCTTTTAATATCGTTATTTGTGTTACACAATACACAACCAAGGATGATGGTCAATACTGCAATGGAAATGTTAAAAAAAATATTATACACGGCTCATGTCTTCCACACACCTTCCTGGAAATAAATTAGTGAGCACAGAGAAACCTGGCTGGGTGGTAGCCACAGCTGAGGGTAGAGGGAGTGTTAAGGCAGTATCTACAACAGGGAAGGGTGGCAGGGGGCAAGCTAAGGCCTTGGTTCCTCTTCAGCCTCCCAGACAGAGAAGGAGGGAGCCATGGGCTTTCCTTCCACCCAGAAGCTGCTGCTGCTGCTAGGTCCCTACCCTCTTGGCCTCACGATTACAGCCTCCACCAGAAGACCTTGCCTGCCGGGGTCTGTATGTTGTTTGGGGAGGGAGCTTTTCCTGCTTTCCCAGGGCTGGGGAGCTTGAACAGTAGAGATGTTACCAGGGTGGGAGAGAAGGGGTCAGATGTGGGCAGATATGGGTCTTGTGGTTCTGTATTTACCTTCTCTGTCCTTGCTTTCCTTTGGCATTTCATCATCCAGGGTCCCTAGACCACAGGAGGTAGGGCTGGGTTGGAGGAGTTAGCTAACAGTTCCTGGGTGCCATGGGGAGAGATGCTACCCTTCCTAAGCTAGCATCCTCACTCCCTCCTCTCACTCCCTCCTCCCAGGCGTGTCTAGAAAATGGCCTTCGGATGCGTGCACTGCAGCCCACAGCATGCGAGTGGTGTCTATGGGAGGGAGTTTTCAGACCTTGGCATGTGGGGTCACCAACTTGAGTCAGCTTAGGCTGTCTGTATTTTTGCTTTTCCTGGCATGGGGGCAGGTCTGCATCGTCCAGTCCCAAGGCCAGGCTCTGCTCACCTCTTTGTCTCATCCTTGTCAGCTTTCCCGTCAGTCGGAACAGCAACAGAAGCAGTGATGCGCACATTCCAACCCAGACATCCCGTCATGCCACTCCACACAAGATAAGACTCACACCCTCACACACACATACGTATTTTCAAACAGCCACATGAACCTAGATACAATCTTGACAGGAACTGTCGCTTCCCTTTTCCATACAGACTCCATACAGGGGCGGGGGAGTGTCCCCTAGGTGTACCCAAAGTCACAGAACTCCCTGAACTTCACAGGGATCCCTTTGTAGACATTCCTTCAGGTTATAAAAGACCTTAAAACAATTTCCAGGCTGCTCATTTTAGAGTGGAGGAGACTTAAGCCCCAAAGAAAGCAAGGGGGCTGTTGAAGATCACAGGGAGGTGCCAGTGCTAGGGTCAGAACCCAGGCTTCTGACTGCCCAGCCAGGCCTTTCAGGGCTCCGCCAGCAGCTTGCCTCACGGTAGAGAGGCTGCACCGTTACTTCCCCAGGCCAGTCTCCCACAGCTATAACAGGAATCGACACCTGGAGAGCGAAGTCCAAGGCAGACACACACTCTGCCAGCCCCCGCCAGCCAGCCACCCACACACTGCCAAGTGCTCCCTCCCATAGGCATTCAGCCACTCAGCCCATTACATTCTAAGCTTGTTCCTTGAAGACTCTTCCCTGGGAACCTCGGAGGTCTGGGGAGAGAAGGGAACACTGGAAGCTGGCCTTACTCCCTGACTCCTGCCTGGGACAGAGAAAATAAACAGAAGAATGGGGCTGGGAGCGCAGAAAGGGGACAGTATTGAGAAAAGATAAGAGATGAAGGGGCAGGGGCCAGTGAGGACAGGTCAGAGAACTGGACACTCCAGCTTCCAAGGCTGACTTACCCACCCAGCCCCCCCAAGACAGCAAGGAAGGCAGGGAGGGGGGAATGGAGCAAAGAGAAAGAGGAGGGAGGCAGTGATCTGATGAGTGGGGCAGTATCCCATTGGGGCAGCTTTGCCTGACTTTCCATCTGCAGAGGAGGGGAAAGTCCATACAGGTACGCAGGCCGCAGGAGGCTGTGGAGGGGCACTGAGGTGCTGTCCCCCGCTGCCTCCAGCCGTGGCCGTTCTCCCTCAGAGCCGGGCTGGGAGACTCAAGGCTTCGCAGAGGTGGGGACAAGCCCCTGGCCTGGTGACTCCTTCTCCTGCTCAGTACTGTTGGCCTCCCTGCCGTCCATGGTCCCCCCCATCCCTCGCCACCAGCCTGCAGCCTTGGGAAGGGAGGCAGCTGGCTGAGTGAAGATCCCCAAGTTACTGAACAAACAGCCCCCACCCCTCCTCAGCCCCCCCGGGTGGAGAGAGACCCGGTTTTGGTTTCTCCGGCTCCATGAACACACAGAGGTACACGTCCTACCATAGGAGGAAGCAATGACTGTTACGAGGCTGGCGGCTGTTGGGGCGCGGGGCGGGGGGCAGGACGGACCGGCAGGGAGGGGTCGGCCCCTGCCGCGTCCGAGCCTGACCCGCGTCGGCCCCCGCCCCGGCGGCCGCGGCGACCCGCCCCGCTACTGAATGTGGCAGGCGGTGGAGGACGTGGCCTGGCAGCACATGCAGGTGGGGTTCACGGACTTGGGGGGGATGAGGTCCAGGTCCTCGTCGTCAGGGATCTCGTCTAACCGATAGCCGTCCTTCAGCAGCTGGATGTTCAAATCTTGGTTGATCTGCTGTAGACAAAGGGGAGGGAGGTCAGGCTCGGGGCAGCCAGGAGACAGCCCCCAGAGCCGGCCCGAGGCAGCCCTAGCCCAGCCAAGGTCGCTCTGCCATCTGGGGGCGGCTCCCTTGTACAGGCCTTGCTGCTTAACGGTCTCTCCTCGCGAGGCCCCGCCCCACTGCATACAGGGTCCCTTCCCATTCTAGTCCGTCTCTCTGTCTGATTCTGTTGGGGGTGGGAGGCCCTACTTCAGGTCAGCTTCTGTCAGGATCCCAGCAGCCGCTTCCCCTAACCCAGTGACCCCGCCCCTGGGAGCCCTCCTTGGATGTGATTTGGCATTGGGCTCCTTGATGGAGGTGGTGTGTGGGGTGGGAGGGAGTGGGGCCTCACCTCAGCAGAGGAGTAGCCAGAGGAGGAGTATCTGGACATGTCAAAGTCATCATCGCTGGCCATGGAAGAAAGAGGGTAGAGAGGAAGTAATTCAGCCAAGTTAGAAAACTCTGTCTGCCCACCCCCACCATCCCTCAAATAAAGGCTGTGCTTGCCATGCAAATGCAGTTTTTCTTTTTAAAATGAGATTCTCCAGCCCGACCTTTCTAAATAAATTGCCGCCCTAAATTTTCTTTGTAAAGGCTGTTTTTGTCTTTACTCCTTTCCTTTTTTCTAGGCTCACGTCACTCTGACTGTTTTCGTTTTTCCCCTGAATTCTGGACTCACTCATCCCTTAGAGGGGACTGAGCACTCACCGCTGCCTCTGCTGTCCAGAGGCAACATCACAACTCATTTAGGATCAGCTGTTCAAGGAGGGCAGCGGACTGCCCAGGTTCCCCTTTCCTCCCTCTGACCCCATTGCCTATCATTTTTTTTTTTTTTTCAAATTCCACTCCCTGGAGAACTCATCCTTGGAGAGTTCCTGGTTGAGGGATCCTATGATTCTGACCTGTTACAGCCGGTTAGAGCCCCTTGTGCTTCCATGGGCTCCTAGAGCTTGCTACACCATCTCCCACCCCCACCGCATCCCCAGTCTCCATACTCACCTGTCTGTGTCAAGGGCTACCAGTGGCTTCTCATCTGGGCTCTGGTCAAGTGAGGAGTAGCCTTTATTGGGGACGACCAGCCTGGGTGAGGAATTCTGGGAGTTGGCATGGTGACCGGAGCATACAAACCTGGCAGGGGATCAGGCTAGGACCTGGCCCACTGCTTCTCTTCTCTCCTTTTCTCTTTCTCTCCCTCCCTCTGTACCCTAGATCCTGGGGAGAGTCTTTCCTCTCAGGGAGAAACTGGGCATGTGGAGGGAGGGAAAAGGGGGCAGGTTGGAAAGGGTGGGGTGTCATCAGAGAGTGTGGGTTGGCAGGTCCCTGGGGTTTAGAGGGCCTCTACCTTGTTCGGGCCATGACATTGTTTTTCTTGGGTTGCTGGTTGACAGGGCTGCCCATGCTGCCGTTCTTCAGGGAGCCCTTCCGGGCCAGTTCCCGCTGCTTCTCTGTAGGGGAACAGGGGAAGGAAGTTATGTCCTGTTCCCAGGGCCACCCTGCCTTACCGTTCAGGGCAGCCTGGGTTGGGCCTCCACTGGGAAACCCCATGCTCCTCTAGAGTCTGTAGCAGGGATCGCAACTCTGGGCTCCTGCTGCTGAGGGAGACAGTACTGGCCCTGAGCAGCCTGAGGGATATGGTGGGGAAGTAAAAGCAGGAAGCCGACCACTGTCTTCTTCCAGAAGTCACACCTCCCATGTGGGACGACTAACCTGTGCTTGACACCAAGGAAAGGCTGGAAAGGGAGCTCACAGAATAACTGAGTAATCAAGGAGGGCCTCCTTTTGGTGACACCGTGAGCTAGGAGAGGAGCGATGGAGTGAGAGTGAGCCAAAGTATGCGCTGACACGGAATGCAGTGGTGAATAAAGAGGGCAGGTGGGACAAAGTAAGAGCCATCTATTCCATTCCTGATTTAGCAAATGCTTGTGTCATAAATCACATGTTGGGACTGTGTTCTGGGGCCAGAGACTCCCTTTGGCTACCAGCCCAGAGCAGGAAGGCCCT